TGTGAATCCCGCCGCGGAAAGTGAGATGTTCTAATCAAGTCCGCTGTTGAATATCCGCAGTGACAAAATTCAACTGCTTCCGGCACTAGGTATGGTAGGCCTCGGTGAAATCAGATAGCTAAGGTAGCCACGACTCACTACCGTGAGTTGGTCAAGGCACAGTGTCCGCCAAGGAGAGTAGACGCGACGACGTCGGATCTGCGTCGGAGGGGAGCGAAAGGTTAAAAGAAGCAGAACTTCCCTGGTCGATCCAAGCACCCTGTTGCAGAACACCGAGCAAGTGAATTTTTGGGGAACAATATACAGCATTTCAGCGTACGGACACTTCCATGATGGCAACCATCCAAGGACGGTTCTGGCTGGGTCTTGCAAGGCTCGCTCACCAAAAAGAAGCGATATGACAACAACACCTCAGCCACCAGGCATTAAAATGTCCAACAACCTAGTCGTTATCTGAAAACTCGATGCGTTGTCTCTGCCATGGCACTACACCCCTTTTGCTACCAGATGTGCTCGGTCTCCCGCCTTCGCCAGACTTGTCGGGAATCAGGAGGCTACCAGCGAAGCCACACCAAACGTCATCGCACTGTCTCGCCTCATGGTCCAGGTCCAGCCAGATCCAGCCAGAACTGGGTCACGCGTCCGTCGCCTGAGCATCTTGGGTGGCGGTCGTTCCATGGTCACAAGAGACGTTGTTGAGCCTCCGTCACGTTCACTCGTTGGCCAATACGTAACCCGTTCAATTGCACTTCAATTCAACTTTTGGTCTAAACACCTTTCCTAGTGACAAATGCCGCCTGCTAAGCTCCGGTACCAATGTGCGATGCTCCGTTGACAATTCATGAAGGCCTCCAGTGGTGTACAGATGTGGTACAGGTCCACCGAAAAAGGCCGTTCCCGCTGTGCGTAGTAAAATAACCTGAATGCTGAAGCTCAAATCCGTAAGACCGTGTATCCATGCGAATCACTATTGCGCCTGAGGTTCTCCATCCTTCGTTGTTTTACTGTAGCCACTTGGCGTACGCCCAGCGAATGCGATCCAAAGCTCTAACTTGCACCTGAATCCCCTTCAGGTTGGCAAGATCATCCAAATCCTCGAGGAACTCTCGCTGCCTGTCGCGAGGCAGCGCTCTCTGCATCAAGTTGCGCAGCACGTGGACTTCGCACAACAGGAGGCCGTGGTCCTTGTAGGAGAGGAGGTTGTTCTGAGAAGGCGTCGCCTCTGAAAAGATCCGGTCGATGTTGCGCAGCACTCTGATGCTCTGTCCAGTCTTGCGGCTTTGCCGGGCTCCCTTGCGAGCACCAAAGATGCCGCGAAGATACTGAACAATGCCAATAGAGACAAGCACACCAGGCGTCAGACCCACAAACCCAAACACCAGTTCCTGGCTCTTGAGGAGAGAGTCGATGCCGCTGATGGCCACCTCCAGGTCGACCTTGGTCTTCTGCACCTGGATGAGTAGTGATCGGACGAGGTCGCCCTTCACCGCCCCGACAAAGGGGGTCCGCAAATCCTTCTCGTATGCACGCAAAACCGGCGTGACGTCTCCCTCGCTGACCTTGGTGCGGATTATCTCGATCTGGGCGTCGGTGAGGGAAGACCCGTCGCCTGCAAAATGAGGCTTGTCCAAAGCAAAGTCCACAACCATGCGCTCCAGGCTTTCTCGATCGGCTTTCAAGCTGTCTCGGCTCATGATGGCGATCTCGCTGCTCGAGTCGTGTCGAATAGTCCCAACAATCTTGCGTGTCGGTTCGATAACCCAGTTGAACCAAAAGTCTCGTACCGTGGATCCAATATCCCGAATCCAGCTGATGATTTCTGCGCGTCTGTTGGCAAGAAGTCGAAGGACAGTCGTCGAGGAAAGGAGTGCTGCTGTTGCAGGCAACCAGTATCGGATGAATCTCGACGGGCGGCCGTTCTCTCGAACAAGCAGCTGCGCAGACATGACGTGGTTGGGGAGGCCGTTATCCAGAAGGTTAAGAAGACGTCTAGCGAGCACAGAGGGCTTTTCCAGAGCGTTGGCGTCCTCGATATGAATGCTAAGCTCGGGGTCTTCCTCGACTCCAGCGAACACCTTGTCCTCGAAATCGTTGACGCCAGACTCGAGAGTCAAGGCCTCCTTGAGAACCATGTCCATAAGAGCCACGCTTCGCTCAACCACGCCCTTCCAGTCATGGCTGTTGACGCCGGCTTCGCTCTTATCGTCGTCTTCGTCTCCTCCAAAAGTTAAACCTTCGTCGACGAGCACACCAAGACCGCTTGCAATCATGTCCCGCAAGCGCCTGAGATGTGCCAATTTCCTCCGAGCCTCGCCGCGGCTAAGGGCCACAGGTGATAGGACCTTGCGCTGAAGGGTCGTGATCGATGAGTCCCGAATGCTGTCCCGTACGATGCCGTAAAACTGTTTCCATTGCTGCGATAATCCTGTACGGGTGGATGCGACAATATCGCCCGGCGTTTGGCTGAGATTCCGAATTCGGTGCTTGCTCTCGTGATAGACGTCCTTGGTCAAGGACCACAAACGCAACGGTGACGTCTGGACAGTGTATAGACTGCTGTAAGTATACGAGCTCAATACCTCGTCCCAGTACCACATCTCATCACTGAGAGGGATAATCTGATCCAGAAGTGTGTTCAAAATGATACCGTAAGTCTGAACGGTAGCCTTGCTGACGAGTAGCCACTCGATCTCCGACTGGTACGGGCCTCGTCTAGCCTCGTCATCCTGCTCCGCTTGGAAGTCCCACTCGGCAAGTTTGGATTCTTGCAGTAGAGAACGAATCCTCTGGGCGGGGAGTAGAGATGACGAAGTTGAGGTGGTGGACAGAGCCCTAACAATATGTAGGAGCTCCTCAATTCTCGGCGACGACAGGGCGTCTACGGTGGCCGAGTGAAAAATGCCATGCTCTTCTGCAGACAGCTCGCCATCTTCTTGGGATAGACTCAGACCTAGTGGAATCCGATCCAGCTGCGCATCTAAGCGGCGGACTTGGCTAGGTGCAGGGAAGGGTTGATGTCAACATTCAAATATTTTGTTTGGGATGACGGGAAGTCAAGGAAAGATGGGACGGAATACTGACTCGGCAACAACAGACATTATAGCTTCTCACTCAGAGAGCACTCCTCCTCCACTTTCATGGATCGGTTGTGATCGAACTCTCGAGACTGTGAGGATTGTAGTCGTGTGAGGATGGATTTGATGGAAGAATGCAGTAGTAGAAGTTTGGGTTAGACGTCATCAGGTAAGCGAATGCCCCGGGCAACTTGGGCGAGCCTGCAGCTGACAACGCGGTGAGCGGCGACTGGAGAGAACCTACGTGGGATGACAGGTGGGGCCTCCTGGGTCACTTAGTCAGCCAGCGCCGCTGACGGAGCTGGACTGTAAGAATAGGTGCCTTTCGTTGAGGATGAGCTAATCATCCTGCGTTTGCTTTTACCTATGAAAAGGCTCGGTTTGGATTTATAGCAAAAGAGTTTCGTTTACCTCAGCTATTCGAGCTCCTCAAAGGCATCTCCATTCTTTGAGGTCCTTTCATCATGTTCAGACAGTTCCAACCCGACTGTAGGCCTACCATGCCATGCAGATCAGATACATCATTTAATAACCAAAGAGGCGTTGCCATTGGTTTTGCTAGAGCATATGAGTTCCAAATCTGAAGATACCTTTACTGACATAGGGTACTTGACGAATCCCACTCAGCGATAGGAATCTGCAATTGCGCCGTCCGAGGCCAGCTCGCTTGTCACTCGCACGTGAAATACCTCGCTGACGCTGAGATTAGAATGTCAAGTCATGAGGGGCCGCGACTCACCTTTTGCTCATGAAAGCCAACGTCCACTTTGACGTGTAGACGCAAAGAGCTGTGCAACATGCCCATAGATTTGGCTCTTGATTTGCTTCAAGAACCGTGAAGACCGATTTTTGATCTTAGTTCTTTGAGGTCACCGGCCATGTTGCGCTTTGGGTGCGTTTATGGTATGTGACTGCAAGGGACTTTCCGGCATCAGATACAATAGATCTAGTCGCGTTTAGATGTTCAACATGGGAGCAAGTTGGACTGGTCTTATCATTATTAAGAATGACAGGTTAGTGGCAACCACAGGCTTGTTTGACACAAGAGCTCGGGCTTGTCAGTCTGGCTTCATCATTCATGCAGGACTAGGAGACCTCATGAGCTCCTAGCCTCAACTTGTGCTTGACAAACAATGATAATGAGGACTTTTGAATTGTTGCTGACTGGAAATATACGAAAGTAGACAGTGCCGGTCAATTCCAAGCTAGGCTTTTCGAGGTAGACATGGAATATCGGATCAAGTTTGACCGGAACACGCCATTTTGACATGAGCATCCACGGCACCCCATGCTTCGCCCTGCCGGAGCGTACCAGCCGTGGGTACGGCCGGGTCTCTTGACAGCTGGGTCAGGGCTACGCCGCAGAGGAGGTCAGATGGATCTCATCGGCAATTGGATGTGGTAGATTCGGAGACGTGGAGCATGTCACTGTCATTGAAGATTGTTCTGGCTTGTGTTTTTGAGCAGCTATATTGGAGCTAATGGGGGCGAAACGGGTAGCGTTAGGCCATAGCGAATTCCTTTGGCAAGACGTGCGACGCGCAACCTGGAAACATGCCCCTCCTTCATCGTATTCGGGTTGAGGGAGGGTACGTACTCGTGCAAAGATGAGCGCGCCAAAAAGTCGAGGTGCGAGGTGCAAGGCGTTCCATGCATGGCGATAAGACAGCCCTGCCCACCTGGAAGGGTAACAGATATCGGCCTCCTTCGATTGCTCGCGACGGGGCGCGATGCTCATGCACCAGTGCTTCTTCTGAGAAGATGATGCCAACATTGAACACAGCTCAAACCTTCCATTGAGAGCTGATCGATGAAGAAGGTTGACATTGAATTAGACTGCCGCCACCTGATTTCAACTACTTGGCTTCGTTAGGAGCTTTACCTCTACGTACCTTATTTCAGGTGTCTGGCTTTGCTGGAAGCTCAGAAACAGCATAAGAGAGAAATGAGCTTTGTCCCATCCCTGAAATGTTTCCTTGCCCCGTGCCTCCCGCCTGTTCGGCCTTTCCCTCCCCTCGGCCCCCCTACGATTGGCAGAATGGCAGAGCCAACAACGCCTGGCGCAGCTGTCACACACCCTTTTGCCTCCCGAAATCTCGCACACCGCCCGACCCAGTCGCCAGGGCACGCCTGCTTCCTACTGGCCAAAGCCCACCACGGAAGACGGAAGGACCCACGAGCTGCATGGTTCGATGTTCAGATGCAGCTTCCCATTGGCTCATGGCACAAGAATGGGCAAATCCCAACTCGCGTCCCCACGCTGTCGCTCAGAAAGGGTGAGAGATGCACAGGGGCGTTTTCAAAAGGTACCTAGCACAATTCCAGAATTAACCTAATATTAAGTCACCTCGAGTAGGTAAGGTAAGTATTTTTTTTATTTTTTCTTTCTCTCTCTGCGGTGACAAGCACCAGAGACGCAGGTGCCATTTCCTTTCCCCGTCAACCGAAATGATCCATGGATAAAACCTCAACAAGACCCGGCCCTGGACCCTTGACCTTGCCGCCCGCCGTCCTTTTTTCCCTTAAACCTCCCATCGCCACCTAAACACCACCCTCGGCGCATTGTTGAAGGAGTTGCGACTGTCTTTCCTTTCCCTCTCAGCTTCCTCTTCGCCAACTTTGGCTTTTCCCATACACATCCATAATTCCGCACTTGTTGAAGCACACAAAGTCGCAAACTTGCGCTCCGCCATCATGGCCGCTTTCATGTGAGTTTCGCCCCGTTTCTTCCCCCGATCCACGGCGCGCCCCTTTTATAGCCCTCGAACACAATCTTGAAGCGAACAGTCACTGATCTGGTTTTGTGCGAAACAGCAACTCGACCGTCATCAACACCGCCTTCAACCACACGCAGCCGTACTTCAGTGTCCTCGAGGAGGTCTCCAAGTACAATGTCCAGCTCAACTATTTTGAGCGCCTCTGGGCCGTATGTTCTCACCTCATCGCCTGCCTGTGCCAACCAACGTCATGACAATGCGACTGACACCTTCCATATAGGCTTGGTATCTCTGGATGCAAAACGACACCCTCGCCACTGGCATCATGAGCTTCGTCATGCACGAGACGGTCTACTTTGGCCGCAGTTTGCCCTTCATCATCTTCGACCTCATCCCCTGGTTCCACAAGTACAAGATCCAGCCTGTAAGCAACCCTCCGAATTTTATCATCACAATACTCCGGATATCTCCGCTGACGCTGAAGTAGCAAAAAATGCCGACACTCAAGGAGCAATGGGACTGCGCCATGGTCGTCCTCATCAGCCATTTCACCGTCGAACTGCCCCAGATCTGGCTCTTCCACCCTCTCGCCACGTGGTGCGGCATGGAGTACAACGTCCCCTTCCCGCCTCTCTGGAAGATGGCCATGCAAATCTCCATCTTCTTCGTCATGGAGGATACCTGGCACTACTGGTTCCACCGCGCCCTGCACTACGGCCCTCTCTACAAGGCGATCCACAAGCTTCACCACTACTACTCTGCGCCTTTTGGTCTCGCCGCCGAGTACGCCTCACCCATTGAGGTCATGCTCCTCGGCATTGGTATCGTCGGCTCGCCCATCTTCTGGGTCACCCTCACCGGCGACCTCCACCTCCTGACCATGTATGCTTGGATCGTCCTCCGTCTCTTCCAGGCCATCGACGCCCACAGCGGCTACGACTTCCCCTGGAGCTTGCGCCACTTCTTGCCTTTCTGGGCCGGTGCCGACCACCACGATCTTCACCACGAAAAGTTCATCGGCAACTACGCCTCCAGCTTCCGCTGGTGGGACTACTGCCTCGACACCGAGGCCGGTCTCGAGGCCCACAAGAAGCGCCGCGAGAAGAAGATTCAGGCCATCAAGGCGCAAAAGTCTCAGTAAATTTACTCTTGCTGCGGCTGCAAAGCCCTTTTGCGACATAAAGTACGCACATCACCAACCAGCATGGCCATGCGTGTATGCATTGAGGGAAGAGAATGACGGACGCGCTCATGAATGTGGTTGAGAGCGCGTTGCTGGACACACCGGCCGCGGGGTGGTGTCTCATGATACGATGTATAGAACGCGGCAGGAAAGGAATACCGCAAGGGAAAGCGACACGACACGGGCCCGGACAACCGAGGCCATACCATCAAAGTCACGTAATTATCATTGGGGCGGCGTTTGAAAGAGGTATTGACGGTTGTGCGAAAAAAGACGAAACCACGTATGCGAATTCTGTCGTATATATTGGGAAGGCCGCCCATATAACTGGCATTGTAGTAGATTACTTAATCATAACACAACATTCGTTCTTCTTATACTCCAGTTTATATGGCTTGCATGTTCTCTTTGTGTATTCACAGTGTTGTACAGGACTTTTGTACAGTGACTTGGTGATCAGGAGAGTAGCTGAACCCCCCCCCCCCCCCGAGACCTCGGATCCGAAGTGAGGCTGACTATCCGGGGCCGCTTCACTTCTTTGGCGTGCAGCAGTCCCCAGCCGTGCCCGCCGCCTTGTCAGCTAAACCACGGATGCCGCAGCTCACGACCTCTGTGTCAGTGGTGGCCTCGGAAGCCGGCACCTCGACCTCGCCAAAGTCCTTTGCTAGGGCGTCGCAGATGAGAGCGAGCTTGAGGTCCTTGTCAGACAGACCCTTCGGGCTATGTGTCGTCCACCGGATAAAAGTGGTGTTATAAACCTGCCTCGGTTTTTAGTCTTTATGATTTGGAGACTCCTTGCTCGATTATCTTGAGAAGGACAGGGCGCTGGGGCTTACGTTTGACCACTCTGGATGATGGTTGTGGATTTTACATTGTAGGCTAACGGCCGTCATGAAGTCCTTTTTACTCGTCAGCAGTCGTTTTCACATTTTCTTGGACGGAGTGTCATTGAACATGACGACATGATGTTTGGCCACACGGAGACATATAAGTACAGAAAAGAGATAGGATAAAAATACGCACCCACGTCTTTGCAAAGTTCTTGAACTTGAAGCTCCGCTCCACGGCCTCGCCGTCGTTGACAAGCGCCCAGCCCCGTCCCTGTCCCAGCAGCGTCTCGAGCGTCGAGGAGAGGGAAGGCTCGTCGGAGCCCTTGGAGAAGCGCGGCGTGGGCACGGGAGCGGCGGTGGCGGGTGTGGTTGACATTGTTCTCTGGTGTCGCGGTGCGGACAGCTGGGTGAAGTTTTGTAAGGGTGATGGGGATGTTGCTGCTTTTGAGAGCCGGGATGGTGTCGAGGTGAGAGGTCGCGGGGTACAGTGTGCGATGCGGCGGACGAGGGTACGGGCTGGAGTGCTCATCTCTGAGGGTGTGTCTGTTGCGATGGACTTGGGTAACGTTTTTCTTGTAGTTGAATTGCAGATGTAGGATTATGATGTGTGGTTGAAGCTTGAGGTGTTGTTAGAGGTGTACCCCTGTCGTAGGCACTTGCGGTTGAGCTTATGTGGAGACGCATGAGATGGACGAGGTTGCCTCATAACAGTTGGATTTTGCTCGACATCTGCAATCATGTGTAAACTCCATCCCTAATGCCCTTCAATATGCTTAGGCCAAGATGATTGACTTCATGTATTTCTCAAGAAGTCCGGAAACTGTTTAGGGGCCCTGGGTCACTCAACGAACTAGATGTACTTTCCAGACCTAGTATTTAATTCCCACGGAGGTGTGCTAGTCGGAGTTCAAGACAGAGTAGCTTCAGAGTCCAACTTCGATTACTGAGATCAATAGACCAATCTACTAGTCAAGCACCCTGAACTCTGCATTCGAGACGAAGCCGCAATTGATAAATCATGATTGAAAGCCAGAGGCATTGACCTCCGATATGCGTTCTATCACTGTCTTGCATCCTGCTTGCCACAAGGTACTCCATATTTAGCGAGAATCACAGAGACAATGTCGGCCATGAAGATCACGAGGCCGAAACTGACGATAATCAGAATAGAGGTGGAGGGAATGGCTTTATAGTATCCAAAGCTCGCGCAAAAGGGCATACATCGGCTTCGAGTTGAGCTTACCTATAATTACGCTCCTACATTTGGAAGGTCGATTATCAGACCGCGCCGCTCTATCGCATCCCCCTGCACGTATCTGCAGCGACAATCCATTGACCAGCTCAAGTGCCAATATAGGGAAACGTTGCCTGTTTCCCGGATACCGGGGTGGAGGAGGTTGGTAACATGGTAAGGTAGATTGCAGAGTGGTCAAGATTCGTTACCCCGCGCTCACCAAACCACACACTTTCAGACTTGACTAAATGATGACGCCCCGAACATAGATTTTCATGATGTAAGAAACACAACTTTCAAAGTTCATCTCAAGTGGCTTTAACTTGGCTAATTGCTTGCAGCTTCAGCTCAATTGTGTGCGCCTGCTAGTACCTTTCCATTGAGAAGAAATCTACTCAGGACCTAGACAGCCATAGTCCTTGGACGCCGTGCAAGTCGTGCAAGATGCGTGTACCACATCAACCTCATGGGATGCAACAGTCCGTATCAAACCCGAAACCAATGGATACGACGCCGCCAGACACCCAACAAACCCAGGCAATGGCCTCACAACAAGAACAGAATGAGCCAGAAGCAGGAACGGCCATCACCCTGATCACGGCTGACCTCCTAATCCCAGGCCGCGGCACCCCAGTCCACGACGCCGCCGTCGCCATCTCAGACGACAAGATCATCCACGTCGGCCCGCGCGATAGCCTCCCCTCCAAATACCGCTCCCTCACGCCCCTCCACGTTCCCGTCCTCATGCCGGGCCTCTGGGACGTCCACGTCCACTTCCTCGGCATCGACGTCGTCACCGGCTTCAGCGACGGAATCTTCAACGTCCTACCCGGTTCCAACGCACTCATCGGCGCCGTCATCGTCCAGGATCTCGAGGCCACCCTCATGGCGGGGTACACCTCGGTCCGCGAACTGGGCGGCTACGCCGGCGACCTCCGCCCAGGTATCGACTCGGGCCGCCTCGTGGGACCCAACGTCTACTCCTCCATCGCCGCCATGTCCATCAGCGGCGGGCACGGCGACCAGCACACCCTCCCCATGCAGACGGTCCTCGACTTTGCAAAGTGCGGCGGCGGCGCCTGCTCCATCGCCGACGGGCCGGAGGACTGCACGAAGCAGGTGCGCCTCCTCGTCCGGCGCGGCGCGCGCTGCATCAAGATCTGCTCCAGCGGCGGCGTGCTCAGCTTGCTAGACGACCCAGAGGACAGGCAATTCTCCGACGAGGAGCTGAAGGCCATCGTCGAGGAAGCGGGCCGTAGCCGGCGCGCCGTGGGCGCCCACGCCATCGGCAAAGCGGGCATCATGGCTGCGCTGCGCGCGGGCGTGAAGAGCATCGAGCACGGGTGCTACCTAGACGACGAGGCCGTCGACCTCATGCTAGAGCGGGACGCTGTGTTTGTGCCGACGCAGCACGCCATCATGACGCTGGCCGCGGACCCGTCGCAGCTGCCGCCGCCGCTGGCGCGGAAGCTGGTGAAGCTCGTGCAGAGAGCGACGGACTCGTATCAACTTGCCATCGGGAGAGGCGTCAAGGTCGCGCTCGGGACGGACACGTGGAGCAGCGACCGGACGAAGCCGCTGGCGCACGGGAAGAATGCGCGAGAGCTGTACTGGGCGGTGAAGAATGGCATGACGCCGCTGGAGGCCATCGAGGCTGGCACGGCGAACGCGCCCGAGGTCTTGGGCGGGATGGCGCCGCTGAGCGGTCAGCTTAGGGAAGGGTATGATGCGGATTTGATTGCTGTTGCAAGGAATCCGCTCGAGGATATTGAGATTTTGACGGACAAGGAGAATATCACCCATGTCTGGAAAGGGGGCAAGTTGTTCAAGTCTTCATGATAATCGGGATATGCCTGTAGCATAAGGTATCAGACTACAAGGGTCGGCCACTGACCAGTGATGAGTATATAATTCGATCGTCAGCCCAACTGATGGCTCCTTGAACAACACCGTACAAGTACAAGTTTTGTTTCTTCATTGACTGTATCGATACGCTGGTTTTACTTCAGTGAAAGATTTGCTCGCCCAGATACAACCGGATCAAGTGTATTATCACAGCCACACACCGCCCGTTCTCCGTTTCCGTATATACTCTATAGAGTACGGATATGATGGATGATCTGTAGGAGCCGCCTAAGAAGCCGTGACTTTGGAGGCCTGTTCGGCTAGGTGCCATTCGGTAGCATATCGGTGTTGACTGCAATGTGATGGTACTAGTCCACGGAGTACACTTTCTAAGTCGCACTCCATTGCCTCATTCCATCAACACAGACCTGTGGAGGGACGTGAGGTTGGGGTGTAGGTTGATCGTGATATGCCTAATGTTTTATTAAAATTGTATTCTCGTACTTGTGGCTCACAAAGAATCCATTCTCATCGACAACGAGGTACTTAGATCGTAGCATGTCGATAGCTTCGCAAATTTCATTAGATGCTTTCCGAAGGGTCGAGCTGCACGGAGCCGCACTGGGCACTCGCAAATGCAAGCTCGATGTCGAAGAAGAGAGACTGGGCAACGTTACAGTCAATTCAGTGGTGCTGACTGAAGGGCGCGCGGACTACCGCTCCATCATGCGATATTGACAGACGCCTAGTTAACCGGGAACCCTACCTTGCGTTAGTCAAATAAGAACATATTTGCAACATTGAATGAGCCTCTTCTGAATTCCAAATTTCGATTCGCCGGTGACAAGCCAGCAGCACATCCGAACGGGACGGCAGCAGATGGAACGCATCACCCTACGTGTAATATGTCATTGGTTGATCAAAAAAGGGCCGTGTGAGTGAACCTTGAAGCGTTTGTGTTGTCACGGTCGTCTTCCAGAACCGCGCACGGACTCCGCCAAAGCTGCAGCACAGGGCACCTGGCGCCGCATGCCAGACGCGCCAAGCCATCGGGCTTATGTAAGTCAAACACCGGGAGTCGCGGTACGTGTAGACCGAGGAAAGCCCGCATACCGTAAGCACCCCCATCCCTTCCCGCCGCTTTCCACCTCAGCATGACACGCATGGGAAGGAAAAGAGGGATTTCCTGGCAGTACTCCGTACCTACGTACGGATACGACTGTTCGAGTTGCCTTCCATGCCTGGGTTAAACATCCGTACCCTTCAGGTAGCTTTTGATGCCCGGCGCAAGCCACGAGTGCTTCGGCGGGATATTTCCTACTCAAGCTTGGTACTTCCGTTGAGGGGTCGGTTAATTATTTGACTGTCAACGTTCCCTCAGTCTACTTCTGCACTCACTCACCTCTCACACCTCGCAGTCGGATTTGCGGGAATAAGGTACTCGGCAAAGGCAAAGTTCTTCCACGATTGTTCTGGTCTGTTGTCTGCGGCCTGCAAGGGTGCCGAGTGGCTCCGGCGACTTTTCCAGTCGTCTCGCCCTGCCTGTCATCGACCCATCGGCCATTTTGTAAAGTCCGTCGCGTCGCCCTTCCAATCACGAGCAGCCTTTACTGTCGGGTTAGTCCCTATGGAGAAACCTGCTGGATGATGTAAGTACCAGTAGACCTCAGGTAGGCCAGTTTGGCCCGCAATTAGTCTTCCTCCCTGTGGTCTGTGGATGAATTGTCGCAACTCGGAACGTGCCATTCCCTGGATGCTGACAAACCAGGCTTGCTGACTATTCGGATTCATGAACGACATGGATTTGAACATGCAAAGAATCCTCTGGGGAATAAATTATCGTTGTTCCGCTGCTGACAACAAGCTCCGGAGATCTAAGTGTAACGTGTTCCCATAATCTTGTTCCTGCCGCCCCTGTTTCTCCTATCTCCGTATCTTGCGCTGTTTACCTACTGGTAGGTAACTAGGGGGGATGACTACCTCCTTCTTGTAGGATCGAAGTACGAAGAGAAACGATGATAGGGATGTTGAGTACAGCAACAGAAGACCATAACTGACGAGGCACACCGGTTGTAATCACGTGGCAGAGTCGTGCTGCCTGACACAGCATCTTCACCAACGCTGCCCGAATGAGAAAGTGAGGCTACACCGCAGATGTAAGTGAGCTGTCGCGGTGCGAGCACACATGCTTTCAGCTCAGAGTTTGGGCTTTCAGCTGCAAGCCAGGTACATGAGCACGTAGGGAAGGTAGATTCAGAGTCCATATGCGCAGACTGGCAGGCACACAAGCAGCTCTAGCCTGCTTGGTCGCCTATGGCTCGAAGCAAAGCTCTTTCGTCTCTTCGTCGGGCGAGAGCTTGACTTACAACCTAGATGATCTGTCTGCATCCTTACCTCATCTCCAAAGTACAGCCACCTGCTCACGTGGGACCTTCCTGTGTTGACTAAGGTGGCCGGGTGTTTCCTGACCTGACCTGACCGCGTCGGCTCCGGGGAGCGCTTTCAGTCACCTTCCTCATCCCGCTT